CACGAGGCAGTTACATTCCCATCCTCATCAACATGTGAACTGTTTTTAGTCCTGAATAGCATCACTCAACTTGTTTACTCTAGTCTAACAAAGTCAGAAAGAAGTGGCTTTGTTTCACCACTTTCAACAATGAGATTTTGTTACCTTCATCTTTCATAGTTAAATAGCGCTTCATACAAGCAACTAGTGGTGAGTGGTGGATATTTATAATCCTCCTTTTTCCCTTGTTCTGTCAATCAGTGTAGAGGAGGGATTTTGGTAGGAAAGCTTTGGCTCACCTACAGCTCTTGTAATCTTTTCAAAATGAAACCACAATGGTAGAAAATCTGGAGGAGGCAACGTTTTTGTTGGCAGGTGTTGCTGTGCACCCCTGACTGAACGAGGAAACTACTTGGAGTGCGTTAATACCTCTAATGGTTGCATTGACAGAATGGAAAAACAAATAAATTAAAAAATGGTCCAGTTTCACTCAAAGTCTGAGAAACAACTCCTCTAATCAAACTCATTACTCAGAAAACCACAACAATTTCCATCCAATAAACCTGAATAACAATAGGGACAGCAGTAGCTCAGGAGGCAGGTTGTCCAGTTGTTGTCCAGTATTCGGAAGGTTGCAGGTTCGATCCCGGCTCCCATCAGATAGTGCTGCTGTTGTTTCCTTGGGCAAGACACCTTACCTGCTGGTGGTGGTCAGAGGGACTGGTGTTGCCAATGCTTGGAAAGCCTCTCCTCAGTCAGTGTGGCCCTGGGCAGCTGTGGCTACAATGTAACTCATCACCATCAGTGTGTAAATGTGTGTGTGAGTGGATGAATGTTGCATTGTTGTGTAAAGCGCTTTGGAGTCCTCTGACTCATTAAGATGCTACACAAGTGTGAATCATATCATTTATCAGTAGATTATACTGTTTTCAGCGGCGGCATTTACAAACACCGGAGTAAAACCGTCACCTAACATGTGCTAGTGCCGCTGTCAGCTCCTTACATAGTTTCCAGTGGACTTGTGGACTTGTGTAGATGCTGGAGAGAAGTGGAGAAGCAAGTGAAAGCAGCTACTTCAGGACCATGGACAGGGCTTTGAGAGGGGAACACTCAGGTCAACCGCCTGGAGCTTCTGCTGGAGGGAAAACGCATATTAGCTGCCTATTACATAGCGTGTGTGTGTGTGTGTGTGTGTGTGTGTGTGTGTGTGTGTGTGTGTGTGTGTGTGTGTGTGTGTGTGTGTGTGTGTGTGTCTGAGCACACACGTTGAAGACGCCGTGGTGAAGCAGAGAGACAGGACACGGCCAGACAAAAAGATAAGTGGTTCTACAAGGGAGGGGGGAGATGGGAGGTGGGAGGTCAGTGGGGGGGGATATGGGGAAGGCAGGATTGTAGTCAACACTCTGTGGCGCGCTCTTCAGCTAATGAGGGAGGCAAGGGGTCAGCATCTAACTACACAAAGATAATGACCGTCTCTAGAAACCATGGCAACAGCAGCCATCCTGCATGCTGCCTCACCCCCTCACCGTGCTCTCATCCTCCCTCACCCCACCAAAATGAATTTTATTATTAAAAAACCTCGCTCTGAGGAAAATCAATGCAGAGCTGTTTTGTCCCTTAATAACAGCTCAGACATTGCATCTGTCCCCATGCAGCCAGGAGACATGCATAAAACATGGTGCTGCAGCCCACACCTGAAAACACATTAAAGATCATTTTCTGCTTCTGTTGTGGACGTAAAAGAAGAAGTACCACGTCGCAGAAAAAGTAACACCTCTCCTGAGAAAGGTGTACTAATTTCAACTTGAGAGAGAGCGAGGGAGAGGCCGGAGCAAATAATGGAGGGAGAAACAAGAGCTAAACGCAGAGCTGACTGAGTCAAACATGTAAACGGAAGACAGGAAACATGAAAAAACACCACATTTAATGTGTCGAAATTCAGCGTTAAAAGAAGAAAGCAGGTAATCTACACTCGGAATATCAGCATTAATTCATCCGTGTGTGTGTGTGTGTGTGTGTGTGTGTGTGTGTGTGTGTGTGTGTGTGTGTGTGTGTGTGTGTGTGTGTGTGTGTGTGTGTGTGTGTGTGTGTGTGTGTGTGTGTGTGTGTGTGTGTGTGTGTGTGTGTGTGCTTGTGCCTGCTCATGTGTGTCAGCTTGAACTTCTGACAACATAATTACACATGGAGGCTGTGGATGAAGATGTAGCTTAGAGTCTGTCTGTGTGAAAGTATGTGGTTAGGAAGCATGATATGTGGCTGAACACACACACACACACACACACGCACACACACACACACACACACACACACACACACTTCACTTGCAGCAGTACATTAGCACCATGGACAGCGGCCGACCCATCAGAGTCCAATTAGAGCTGCTGAAACCAGTCAGCCAGTTAGCCAAACACAGACTGCTGTGCTGGTTGAGGACGGAGATGGTTCTGTGGAACAGAAAAGGAAACACTCTGTTTTAATGGCAAGTAGGAGGCTGCCTTTTAATGAGGGATGTGATGGTGTCATTTGGTACTTGATACCCTGTCTGGCCATTAAAATCTCTTAGGAGGGAGCACCTTGTGATTTGTACTAGTTATGGTTCCAGATTTATAAGGTGATTGACTGAGATGAACCGTCTGCATAATACTTCACTCTGGCACCTCGTACTTTTTAGAGTTTGGTGTAAAACTTTACCCAGTTGTGGTGATGGCTACAGATGGGTGGCAACACCTGATAATTAGGAGGGTTTCCTTTACACATAACATAAAAAAGAAATGAGCAGGAGCCCTATTTTAGCATTATTGCTATCACATAATTATGCATGTACACCTACGCCATGGTCCTTAATTTAAGGTTTCAGAAACATAGTCAAAGGGATCATTTTTCAAATGTAATTCACTTCATGTGTAAAAGCTAAAAGATCCTTCCATCCTCACACTATGGATTCATCTGTTCAAATTAGGTTTTATTTGAGGAAAAGTATTAAGTAGCAGTTACTTTATTTACTTAAAATATTGTTATGTTGCATTGCAACAATCATTTACTTGAAACCAACGTGTGTTTTTTTATGTTTAAGAAGTCTTGCTGATTTAAAATAGTCAGGGGAAGTAAAAATGCACACTGAATAAAAGTCTAGTTCAACGTCTGAGGGTCAGTTTGAACATAACAACATAAAACCAGCTTTTTTCTGATGGATCCAAATCTGAAAAAAATGTGTTAAAACATCAGAGATTTAGTCACGGCTGTGCTCAGCACTGAAAAAGCAAACTTGTAGGATTTACTTAATTCAGTTATGGAAAGTGGTTGCACACAATTGTTTTGCTTTAGTTGCAAGTAAAATGTTTAAGTAGAATTAACAGAAGTTTTTCATTTTAAACAAACATGTATATTCTGTGTTACTACAAATTGATAGAAACATGTTTTCATTAAGTAATATGAGCTCTTCAAACATTTTAATTCAACATGATTTTGTCACTTTGTTCCAACAGTATTGTTTCACTTTGTTTCAACACTATTCCGTAACTTACTCTATTACTAATGGGTCACTTTATTACTACATGTCTTCTACATATTCAATTTTTATAATATATTATAAAGTCAATTACTACCGTTTTTCTACTTCAACTCAAGTCAGATCATAGAAATGAAAATAAAAATAAAAAAAAGTAATTATCGAAGAGAACAAAAGCATTCTGCTTTGACAAGATTAAACAATACAAACAAACTATGGCTGTTAGCTCAAGAGTCCTAACAGACAGAAGCAAAGGCCTCTAAGAAGCTTTCCATAATAAGTAAGATGGTAATTATTTGATAAATATTTGATGATTAGTTAAAACTAACACTTTTACAGTAAAACACACTTCAAAACGCTGGAAACATCCCTTTATTTACCACATTAGACATGCCACACCCCTTCAATGCATCCGTTTTCGCCAATTCCTATTTGTTAACAGATGGTGTCAGACTTCTCATTTATTAAAAAAAAAGTTATAAAGCCTGTATTATTCTCCCTGTAGCTTTATTTTTAAAATACTTCAACAGTAACAATAACAAGCAGGTTGCAACTGAATGCATTTAACCATAAATTACAGTTGTTAAGACAGTAGCGTGTTTTATTTAGCTGTCTGTTTCCCTTTTAGTGACTGTTGCAGATGAAAAATAGTCCGACCGTGAACACATCACCATTCATCAGAGCAGACAGTGTGTTTCAACGGTGAAACACTTTGATTTGGAAAAAAAAATGTTTATTTTTTTGCTTGTAAAATTGAACTGACAATAGTGGCAAAATATAAAACATCAAAGCTAAACATTCAAATGTGTTTTATGGAAGTAAAAGTACATTTAATAGGGAAAATAACTTTAAAACCAACATTATGTGATATTTTTATAAGCATAATTTAAACCCTTTGTTGTGAAATATTTCTGAGAATGCCTGAACCGGAATCGGAACCAGGGCTCCTTCCTTCCTGGTGTGAAGAGTAGAACATAAACGTCGTAGCAAAGAGTAACGAGGAGGAGGCAAACGGGACTCTGGTTAAAAATGCTAGAAGAGGTCTAAATGTTCCAGGGCAGTGGAGGGGATCAGAAATGTGCACACACATTGTCTTGTCAAACATGGCGTTAAGCATATGCATCCAGACCTGCCATGGAGCAGCTTTTAGCATCATGTCGACGAGATAATGAGAGGGTTATTTCCCACATCATCGATCTCTCTCTCCTACTTTGGTTTTTTTTCTTCCTGTCTCAGTTTCTTACCACGCTTTCTGAAATGGTGTCTCTGATTTTTATTAAAGTTCTTCTGTTAACTGCAGATTTGTTTTATGTCTCTTTGTCTTCAGGCTTGCACATCTTACCCGGTAACACTCTCCTTGCACACGTAGCACAAACGTTATGTCTTACTTTAGCTTTGTAGCTTCAATGCTTTTCCCCCTAATTCCGTTAAAGCGTTGGTCGTGTCAAAAAAATAAATAAAAACAAACTCAAACATCCGACGCTCTTTTTTCCTTCCCCTCGTGTCTTTCCAGATGTTCTCGGAGGAATCACTGTGAGCGGGCAGACGAGCCGTACCGCTTCGCCGCCTCTCTCGGCCAGTGTGTGACGGCCACCGTCTATCCAGACAGCATCGCTGTGTCAGAGCCGAGCGTTCCCGTGAGTTCACGCGCGCACACACACACACACACACACACACACACACACACACACACACACACACACACACAGCCTACCTTAACAAAGTAAAGCAAAGGCGGCTGGACATGTGAAGATGTTTATGTTAGCTGAGCCGCTTCCTCGGTTCTGACTGGAAGTTTGTAAGTTTCAAGGTCATAAACTGTTGTGTGGCCTTTCCTCTTGTGCTTTGTTGAACTTTTATACCACCGCCGTTTTTTATTTTATTTATTTATTTATTTATTTATTTATTTATTTATTTATTTGCAAGCAGAACTGTTTAAATAAGCCAACACAACAGTCCACTAGAGCCTGATTGTGGCTGATGCATAAACATTAGATGGGGAGGTTTTGTGAGAGCTGCATGTGGGCGTTTTAGGCATACATATGTTCACTCGTTACCGAGAAGCCAGTATGCGTGCCAAGATGTGTCGGTGTGGGCGGGCGTGTAGGTGGTAAAGTTGCCCGGGTGCAGAAGAGTACAGTACATCATTTCCACACGGACCGAGCGTAAACGGGCAGAGATCACCGGAGAGCGTTGAGAGGAATTCTCTTCATCTTCAGGAGGAACACTGACACAAGCTTTGGCTTCACAAACCCACTCTGGCACAGGGTCACTGCAGACTCATTTTCACTCTCTTGATTGAGTGGCCTACAGCAGCTCTGAGATGCTTCAAGATGTAAAATGAATCTGGAGCCACATGAAAAGGTTCTCACAGAGTTGTTTCAATGAAAAAATACAAAAAAAATCAAGAGATTCCCAAAACCTGGTGTTGCTATCTGGAAAATCTAGGATCTTGGACAATGGTGTAAACTCAGTTTGTCAGCTTCTCACGGTGTGCATGGTGATGCTGGCTTCTTTGTTTTGACTTCAATGTTTTTGGATTCTAAGATTACAGCAAATTTTCATTTAAATGCATCTGCAGCAAAACGCATAAAAAAACAATAACAAGTGTGCTGCGTGAAGTAATCATCTTATAATGATGACGAGCATACAGATACATCCCAGTGGTAAAAATATGTATTTCTATTAACCCTTTGATGCGTGAATTATGAAATCTTCAACCATGATTTTTTAACAATTTTTTTCATTCATCTTTAGGTGTGAATGAAACAAATTTCAACAAATATCTTTTGTAACATTTTGTTAATTTACAAATAATTTATTACATGTCCATCTCAGTGGACAGCGTGAATTCTGACCTTGGAATATTTTGGCTTGGCTTACTGAAGTCCAAATGGAGGGGCTCAAATGCAATAAAGTCTTCAACAGCTGTGCTTAATAGCAAAAATAAATAAATAACAAATTTGAGTACCTGTCCACTGTAGTGACCGTTATGCATCAAAGGGTTAAATGCAAGAATATTGAGAGTTAGAGAAAACCTATTTTAATGAATTAAATAAAACCTGCTATTTATGGCAGAGCCTGAACCCGTTATAGCTGTGGTACTCAATCCTGGGCCTGGAATTCCGGTATCCAGCGCGTTTTAGTGTTGCCCTCCTTTAATACAACTGATTTCAATCAGCAGGTGATTAACGCGCTTCTGCAGAGCCCGATGAGCTGCTGCACAGGTGATTCAACCACTGAACCCAGTGTGTTAGAGCAGAGAAACCACTGAAACATGCTGGATACCGGTCTGCCAAGGCCAGGAGTAGTGATCCACTGCTTTAAAGGGTTGTATGCTATTGCGTAATATTTAATATTACATTTCATTAACTCATTCGCTGCCAGCCGTTTCCTGATCGGTAAAGCCCTTCGCTGCCAGTGTTTCTCACCATTGTTACTGTTTTTATAAGAGTCACAGAACGTGTCGACACCAAAACAACCAAAACAAAGCGGAGACTCACCTCTTACATCAGGAAGAATCCGCGCGTTTCGAGAGTTATCCGTTCTTTCATAATCCTTTGTTGAATTGTGATCGGCAGAAGCTTTTCCGGTTCGCCCCTCACTTTTTTCACAGCAGCGGCCCAAAACGATCTCCTAACACATGGATGTTCTGCTTCCCAATCACGTGACGTGTGACGTACGCGGATAGAGATCGGCTTTAGAGCTGGGATGTTTGTTCTCACGGTGTGGGGGCTCGTTCCGACGCCCACACAGTAAAAAAAATGCAAATGACAACTTTAGGCGTCATTGGCAGTGGAAGATTTAATGTTTAAGCTGGAAAAAATTGGGCAAAACATTAAACAATAAAATAGATTTTAAAGTTTTTTTTTTCAGCCAGTAATTATTTCAGCTAGTTTCTTTTAAAAGGTTAAAGTAAATCCCTGTCTTGATAAAAAAAATAAGGTATAGACAGGGTTTGGAGCTATTGGGAGCCCCCAAAATGCTCCCCTGAAAGGGTGATGGGCTCCCCCAGAAGCCCTCAACTGACACACCCAGGGGGAGCCCCAAAAATGGTAAATGGTAAATGGCCTGTATTTGATATAGCACCTTCTGGAGTCCTGGAACCCCCCAAGGTGCTTTACAACACAATCAGTCATTCACCCATTCACACACACATTCACACACTGGTGGGGATGAGCTACAATGTAGCCACAGCTGCCCTGGGGCGCACTGACAGAGGCGAGGCTGCCGAGCACAGGCGCCACCGGTCCCTCCGACCACCACCAGCAGGCAACGTGGGTTAAGTGTCTTGCCCAAGGACACAACGACAGCGACAGACTGAGCGGGACTCAAACCTGCAACCTTCCGATTACGGGGCGAGCTCTTAACTCCTGTGCCACCATCGCCCCAAAAATGCTCCATTCCCCCACCACCTCTCTCTTATGGCATTGTAATGAATCAGATCCCCGCCCGGACCACTCCCACCACCCACCCCCCATTCTCACAGGCCTCCCCCAGAAGCCTGTGTGTAAAGGATAGATGTACAGTGGTTTGGGTGACACACCCAAACGTTGCTCAGTATCAGCTAAACAGTCCAAGTTATTGTTTTTTTCTTATTTGAATGTCAATTTGTTTTGTCAACCGTAATGAATTGGGTTTGATGCCAAAGCTCAGCCAGCTATAGTTTGACGCAAAATGATTTCTTCCTGAAAGTTTGGTTTGTGGGTTGTTTGTCAGCACTGCTCACACATTGACACAGGCAAAAACATCATCACCGTTCACTGATGGGGATCCCTCTGGAAGCCTGTCACATGAACTCAGGTTTGCCCTTCTCCACACAGACGCTTTTGTTGACGAGAGACTCTGAGGTGTTTGCTGGTTTGCCTCCGGTGCTATAACGGTACACACTGATTGTGTAACTGCCGTGGTTTCATTGTCACCCACAACTTTTCAAAGCAGCTTGATTGCTTGTCCCCTCTTGGCTTGAGGTCTGACTGTCACACGTGCTTAATGCTGCTTAACACGGATTATATCCATGTGAACCAGGTGACTTTATTGACAACGGTGTGCTATAAAATAGAGCCACCTGTTTTATTGGCAGAGCAAGGCTGAGGACTCCGAGTGCTATCAGAAGGTATCGGCATAAACCCGTTTACATCACATGGAGATGAGTTTCTGCTGGGAACAGGGTATCTGCAGGTTTAAGGGAGCCACATTTAAGACTTTTTAAGACCCTTTTTAAGGCCACTTAGACCAAATTTAAGCTATAATTTCCAGCGATTGCCTGGAAACGGTGCTAACCACGTCGCGAACATGGGATTAGCCATCCCGTTACCATTAAACTTTCACTTCCCCATGGCGCAAGCTCCCACTAGCTTAACCAGCTAATGTCCTCATCTAAAAATAGCCCCCTTTCACAACCAACTGAATGTGTACGGTTTCGCTTACGCCAATATCACACACAAAAAAGCTGAACACTAACTAGACATTCATGAAAATTTTATAGAAATTAAAGAATCTTTTTTATTGGGTTTTTGTGGTAATTTAAGACCTTTGGAAACTGCATTTAAGGATTATTTGTCATTTTTAAGGATTTTTAAGACCTTAAATTTGGAAAAGCAAATTTAAGACTTTTTAAAACTTTTTAAGGACCCGCGGATACCCTGTGGGAATCCACAGACCCACTAAACACCTCTGATAGCTACAATCAGTCTGTGACCGGCAGTGTTGGGAGTAATGCGGTACAAAGTAATTAATTACTCTAATGCATTGTTTTTGGCTGTAATATGGTAATGTAAGGCATTACAGGGAAAGAAAATGGTAATATTTACTCGGTACAATTGTCAGTAACGTGGTAATTACAATGCATTTTTAAACCCAGAATCAAGATGTGGGATTCCTAAAAATTCTAATAGCGCGAAGCCTGAAAAAAGATCCAGTATCCACATATATGATGTCATTTATGGACTCAGCTTTGCGGGCATTCTCTGAGCAGAGAGGACGCAGCGGTAATGGCTCAAATACTCCAGCTGCGTCCTGCGCACGGCCGCTGTTATATTCACAAAATCGCTCCACCAAAACAAAGTAATTCGTGTGCGATCGTTTATATCAGCCCATATTCGCTGGTACTTCATGTACTTTTCAGCTGAGTTCATAATCTGTGCCCCGGTGATTTCAACTCATTGCTGCTGGTTTGGTAGATCCCTTTGGCTGATTAGTTAGAAAGTAGGAAATCTAGGAAACAGTTTTTCTGGAAGACGGAGAAAACATGCAGCATGCAGGAAGGTTAGAGAGAGAAAGGGCCGGAAATTATTCAAATAAAATCAAGAAAACAAAACAAAGTGCTTGAAAAGAAAAAAGTAGGTAGATTTATCCCCAATACACATTTTTACCAGTGAAAAGCAATAATATATAAGCATTTAATATTTATACATGTGATAGAATCAGATCACCTCAGAAGTCAGTCCCACATCCAGGGCCGTATCAAGGTATTTGGGGACTAAGGCAAATATAGGCTTGGAGCCCCCACCACCTCACTCCCTGCTCAGTTAATATAAGATGGCAGCATGCTGAGAGTACAGATTGTTGTTGCTTTTATTTAATAAACAATCATTTTAAAGCCCTGTTATTATATCTGACTGTTTTTAACAGCAAC